AAAATCAAAATGTCAATTCGACAAAAATCTCAGGTAGTCTAAGAATGACTTATATATAAAGTCATTCTTAGATCATCTAAGATCGCGATTTTTATCATGACCAAAAAATGACGTAAATTCGATCAATATGACGTCAAATTGACATTATTTTTATTTTCTTGTTCTCCTTGGATAGTTAGATGTTTAGATGCTTTAGCGAAACCGTTCTTTCCGTGTAGAATCATAATATCGCACCGACTAATTAGCGCTGATTAATTCTATTCTTGTTTATCAGAAGTCGTGTTAGAGGGAGAATTCCGGGACGGCATGCTTCATGGTCGTGGAAGTATATATTGGCCACGTGGGCAAAGAATGGATGCTGTTTGGAATCGCGGAAAAATGGAGCAAAGGCGCTATACGTTCGCAGACGGTTTATCGTATCGAGAAAACGATTGGGATTATTGCGCATATCCCGATAGGCGGTTAGCATCAGATTCTTAACATAGCAGCTAAATGAGAATTCATCCCGCGTATTCATGGATAGTAAAAATATTTCAGATTTTATAACTGCGTGGTGAATGGATTGAAACCAGCCGGAGAAGTATTGAAAACCAATGACCAGCCTACTAAGATTATTCCTCCGTACTGCTACGACACCGGTGCTGGAATGTTCGATCCAGACAGTAATTGCGTAACATCATATCGCAATTGCAAAAAAGTAAAGATATCTCTCGGCAGTGATAAAGATGTAAACAATACATATCTATTTATTCTCGTGAAGGACAAATGTAGGTTTAAATTTAATAAATTACAAAGGTGCTCAAGATTCCAACGGCGATAGAAAGTGCATGGATAAAAAACAATTGCCGAAAAGGCTGGTCAGAGCCAACTGGCCATCAGGAATGGTTACATGAATATTGGCAATCGGGAACGGCGGATTTTGCAACGTTACCACATGTTTCGCAAGATGACGAAGCGGGAATTTGGTGGCAAAGGTACAAATATAAATATTTCAAACAATTAAAAATAATGTAGTTATATAATACAAAATATTCTAATAAAATAATATAATTATATATTATAAAATATTATAATGAAATATCATAGTTAATTCTTGTTTTACACTATTTAAGACTGACAAAATTTGCCAAACACTCACCCGCTGACATGATGAATAAAAATTAACACAATTGTGCTTAATGCAGCGATCAAAAAGTTATAAAAAAGATGTAGACTGAAGCAACTAAAAATTAATACAATAAGTAACATATACAATTATATAGAATATATATGTAACAGTATAACTATTATTAAAATTATCGCCGTAAACATACTTATTTTAAATACATACATATTTCCAAAATGTAATATCTTAAAAATATTCATTACACAACGTATGTGTTTACACTTTTCGACATATGAAAGCATAAAACGCATTTCCTAACCGATAACGAGTTCTTTCTCTTCAGTCACAACTGTTGGCGCATCTGTTTTACGTTGCACGTTGAACAATACCGACAGCTTTAGTGGTACACACGTGTCCACTGTGCAAGCCATTATGTTTAATGTGACGGGCAATTGATTGCGCGTTTCTTCTTCAGGAAGTTTCACCGATATAGGAGTTGAAAGTCTACCCGTCAATGATTTCGCCGTCCACGTATTTGCAGGTAAAGACACCTGCCATTCTTGCGGTGCGTCTGCATTTAATTTCAAATCATTCGTAAATACGATATTAAATGAAATATTTAGTTCTCCACTGCGTGCATTTACTGTCGTATCAAAAGTGAATACATTGTCAGTATTTCTATTCGAGTCACGTCTGGATACGATGGTCATCTGAAAAATAAAATTAAGGAAGTTTGTTAATCTTTCATGATTCACAAAACAAAGTTATATTTTTAAAGTGATTCTGTTAGACTTCTAGAAATATACTTACAGTTGAAATCTTCTCATTTTTTAGATAAATAATTTTAAGAGCGTGATTGTTGGTATCTGCTACGTAAAGAATGTTACCGTCTGGACTAACAGCAAGGCCACTCGGTTCATTGAACTAAAAGATTTTAACAATTTAATTAATTTTTACAAACATTTTTTATAAATTGCTGTTTCTTCAAAAAATATACTTACGGTAAATGTATGATCGGGTTTTTTGTCGCCAAACAATGTTTTGCAATACTCCGTCGTAAGATCTACGCTTTTAATTTTATGATTGTAAGTATCAGCCACATAAATTCGTTTATCCAAATGATTCCACGTTACACCTAATGGATGTTGAAGTTTAGCCAAATATCCTTTTCCGTCTACATCTCCAAACGCATGTAAGTTCTACAATGCAAAGTGTTTCTAAAAATTCTGATAAAATAAACACACATTGATTTACTGCTGTTATTCGAACGGAAGCTGACGCTTGTTTACGTATCGAACAAATTGATTAAAGCTATTTTATTCATATACACAAATGCAAAGTGAGAAAATAAATGAAAACTATTTGTTATTGAACGAACCGCTGGATTTTTATCTCCTCCACAAACAGCGGATACTTGTCCGCTATCTAAATGCAGCCGTCTGATAGCACTGCTTTCGCTGTCCGCCAAAAACGCAACTTTACATTCCTGAACGATCGCAATGCCAGAGGGTTGTGCTAGTCCTGCGGCATGAGGATAACTGTTGTTGCGATTTTCCTCTCGTCCACTTCCAACGATAGCAGCGCAAGTGCCCGCCGTGTATTTCCTAAAATACGAACATTCACGTATATTTTCGTTATTTCGCATGAATTATAAAAAATTGAAATTCATTATTAAATTAAATGTTCGAAAATTACATTTAAAAATGCGTGAAGTGAAGATGTCATATTAATTACGTAAATAATATCTCACTTTTCCTTCCACCAAATGGTATCTTCCAAAAACAGTGCCCAGACCTGATGGGTACCCGCTATGGCGATTAACAAGACTGGCACCATGGTACCTTTATACTCGTGATGATAAATTGCCACATCCCAAGGGGACGATAAAGCTTGATCGGTGCCGTGTTTTCCACCCTTTCGATCGCAACCTTGTGAACCAGTACCAGCTATGGTGGATACGATTTTTTTTGCCAGGTCTATCTAAAACGTGATTAACATCGAAATTAAATATAGCGAATCAACGTTGTGCTACAATAAAAAATGGTACTTTTACTTACTTTTCTAATAGCATGGTTATTATTGTCCGCAACGTAGATTATATTATTTAGTACACAGACCCCTTGAGGTGAATTGAATCTAGCATTTTTGAAATCGCCATCTTTAAAACCCTGGCTGCATCCTCCTATAACGTGTTCCACTCTCCCGTGCTCATTTGTAATTACAATCCTATTGTTACCACTATCAGATATGACTAGCTTCGTTTCTTGTTCTAACTGAAGAACCGTTAGTTTGCCAGGAAATAGCAGACCATCTTTAGAAGATGGTAAAAGATGATGCGCCGGCTTTAGTGGAAGACCATGATTTGATATTTGTTTTAAAGATTTAAAATAAGCTATTGCTATTTTTGTGTATAATAGTATTTCATCTTTGTGATTTTCACCCACAAAAACAGCCAGTGGTTGACCATTAGGTCCTGAAATGAATTTAAACACAGATGTGACAATAGGAAGTTTTCACAAATAGTATAAATATATATAAATTATGTAGCTGTTAGAAAAAAAAGCAAAGGAATCATATATTGTTTCATACCTAACATAATCAGGCTAGGCCAACACGTTATTCCCATATCGTCCCACATTCTTAACGTTACATCATTTACCACAGGATGTGTGATATTATATCTCTGTACAGCAGATAAGACATTCTTCGAACTGCGCTCGTTTGTAAATTTTGCGCTATGCACTCCGATCTAAATAGAAAAATTATTAGTCTCGGACAAAATCTTATCTAATGTATATCTTTAATTTCTAGAAGTTCTTTCCTGTAATAAAATATGTTATACTTACTACCACGAGACCATCCTCTATAGAGATTTTCTTCTCGACTTCTTCCAGCTCGGCCAAAACATGCATGCAATTGATGCAGCAATATGTAAAGAAGTCCAAAAGCACGATTTTTCCTTTTAGATGCTGGCCTAGCGACAATCCTTCGGACACGTTAAACCATTCCAAGCCTGTATAATACATATTAAAAATTATAACGATAATAATTATTGATCATTTCCTGCAGATAATAATCCATTTATTTTTAATTAGCTTTTTACAAAGTACCAAAATAGGCTTGTAAGTTATGATAATGAATTGTTACTAATTAAAAAATGACCTTCAGTATACAATAATTTTGGAACCATTTTGACGTCATAATGACTTAGGCCCAGTTTCACAACTGACTGTTAACTCTTAACCGATGTTCAACTTATTCATTATCTCTTTTCAATTCTAGAATTGGAAAAAGATGAGAAATAAGTTGAACCTCGGTTAAGAGTTAACCGTGAGTTGTGAAACTGGGCCTTAATTGTTCTGCTTATAAGTACATACTGAAAATTAATTTACAATGACCATGACGATTGTTAGCCATTTTTTTCTGCAACAGATAACTGTCATTTATTTTTAACTGGCTATTCGCAAAGTGGTATAAGGAAGAATGCAGGGAACTTTTTTCATGAGAACCAGTACCTTTTGGGAAATCATGAGTTGCTCCGCTGTTTTCAAAGCGCCTGATGTGTTTTAGGATTAATATTTCTTTTTCCCTCTGTTCCAAATCATTCAGGTGGAAGCGCATCTGAATGCAGACCTGCGTCAGTTCCTCCACTACTTCTTGCGTATTCATTTTTTTGTTTACCAGTCCGCACATCAAACGATCTAAAGTAGGTATAAAATTCCTCGAACGATCGAGAGCGTTTGTTACATACGCACTTGTGTTACTTGCAAATCTTGCAATAGTTGTAACACTCGCAACATCAATTCGGAACGTCACTCTCTCTCTCACTCTCCTTGAGAACGTCTGACGTGTTCCATCACGGACACCGAATGACGCTACTGATCTCGGATAACCTCGGAGGAAGAGATTAGCAGGGAGGGAGAGATTATGCAATTTTCTCATCGTGTCATCGAAGTCCAATTGAATACATTGTTCGATACGTTATCGATTTAACCTTAACGTAATCATTATCAGTCGTTAACCTACTCTCTTTCGCACATGGTGCTCATTAACATGAACTCAGTTGTCGCAGATTTTGTTGTGAAACTTTGTATTTTTTTCGCGGACTGACGGATATGGCAGACTTAAAACCAGATGATGAATTGGACTGGGTGAAAATACATGAAGATCTGGATAGCACTTATACTACCGAGAGTACCGAGACGTTTTTGCAGAAGGCGAAACGTAAAACGCTAGAGAATCCTCTGGTACCGATAGGTAAACTAACCTATATTCCGTAAGCCGAGATAGAATTTATCGAACCAAATCCTTCTGATCTGTGTTTAACAAGAAGCTGTGCGGAGATGTAGCTAAGAAAATAGGATAAAAAAAATATAAAGAGACTTGTACATCTGTGCAAAAAAAACCGCGTTTTATTGAACTTTATAGTCATCTTTAATGCAACGCTATTTTCTGCATTTGTATATTTCTAGGAGCATTCGCGACTATTACAGCCCTAAGTATTGGAATCTTCAACTTTTATAAGGGAAATGCAGAAATGCAACAGTACATGATGCGTGCTCGTGTTGGTGCTCAAGCATTTACTATCGTTTGCATGGTCGCAGGATTTATCCTGCTTCCCAAGTCAAAATAAAATTGATGTTGATTTATGAATCAACATCAAGTTTCTACTGTAATATTAGGCTTGTTCTTGTCATATTGGGTATGATATACCTAATATGAATATCCCTTATGTAATTTAGGATAATCTCTGATGTTGATGTCGTAAAAATATTTTTTAATAAAAATATTTACAAAAATGTAACTAATTACAATTATTGACGAAAGTCATAAACAGATATTTTCATTAAAAATATCCTTTTTATCGTATATACGAAAAAGTAATATTGCAATGAACTGCGTTGAAATCTTTCCAAGTATATACAAAAATTGCAAGGTTTTTGGAAAAGTAAACTGTATTTAGGTAACTATATATAGTTATATATTATTATTATTACATTAAATATATACTATATATATATAAATATGCATATCTTCTTACAGCCATACTAAATATTGCAATGTTCATATATTTTCTAAATTCTTAAACGCATTATATAATAGGACACTATAGGGTATTATAGTACTATCCTTGTACTTTTAGCGATATATAAGACTTCGCATTATAAAAATAGAAAAGAGAAAAATAAGAAATAGTTTAATCAATATCATTTGTACTGTATAACTATATCTAATATCAAGTTTCTCATATATATTGAATTTATATATCAATCGATACATATTACATTTTCAGCTGAATTAAAATTTTCCCTGGAATAAAAGTCTCTTCGGTTAATACAGAGTGTATTAAGGCCATTTTGGATATACACTATTAGTACTGAAAATGACTCCGCATCAATCTTATGGGAAAATGTCTTTCTGCGGATTTGGCTAATTTTTGGATAGTAGTTCTCTTCATTCTGAATAAATGTCTCAATGGGCATAACTTGATCCTATGAGTCGTTTCCATGCTACAAGCCTTGAAAGGTTTTATATGATTACTGGACCTTTGAAGACTTGTAGCATGGAAACGGTTTATAGAATCAAGTTATGCTCTTTTGAGACATGCTATTTTGAGACATTTGTTAAGAATGAAGAGAACTACAACATATCCAAAAATTAGCCAAATCCGCAGAAAGACATTTTCCCATAAGATTGGTGCAGTCATTTATTGTATAATATTCTTGAGGCTTCCACAGGTGCTTTCTATATCAAGATGCGTTTCGGGTTTTCCCCGTGTCCAGATCCATTCTTATAGCGTTTTTCATTGATAGAATCAATGCGCGATCAGTGCACTTTAAAACCGTTGTACACAAATCGACGTAAAGATACACGTTTAATAAAAATATAGAAACCAATCAAACCGCGAAATATTCGATACATTTTATTGTGCTATTTGATAAAATACGCATTTTATCAATTGAGATCTCACTTTTACATTTAGATTAGAATAGTGTACAACAGCTTTAATATGCACTGAGTGCGATATCACTAGTTCTGCCAATGAAAAATGCTATTAGAATGCCAACGTTTCGTGAACTTTCCCTTTATATTACGCTGCTTGTTGGATTTATTGTATACGTACAATTTATTATATACGTAACGTAATTTTCAGTACTGACAATGTTTTCTTAAACTGAGAAATTATGTTTAATTGAACTTTCCTCCACCTCAGTTATCAATAAAAATATTTTAGTGTATACATCTCGGGTCAAAATTGAAAAGTTCTAACTTATTCTCGCGTAATAATTACTCGGCTTTATGAATCTTCTTGAAAAGAATTATAAAATCGTTACGTTTTTTTATTAACTAAATGTGGCTTTAAAGAGATGGCACCTTGTTTAAATACGCCGCTGATACTCAGTGAACGTGAACGTAGACTTGTTAGGCTATTTGTGGAACTACAACTGCTTAGACTAGTACTAGGTGTGAGATCAAAGATCGTTTGTACAGTAGGTCTTGTGGATGAATAATCCGGGATCGATTCTACAATAAAGAGATAATAATTAATAAATAAATTATTTACTATACTTTGATAGATTCCAAAGCGTCGTTTTATAGATTTAGAATTACATAATAACTTGTGCATTTACCTATTAAAGGTGTCTCGTCGTATAAGGAACCCTGTCTTTTATTACTGATAAAGGAATTTCTCGTACTTTCAATGCTAGACACCCTTTGAATAACTTCCGCGGCGTGTTTCCACCTCGAATGATCGTTGATGTGTACCAATAAGAACTTTGACCATTTTTGAGCTTCCTCCTTTGATTCGAATTTAATTGACAACAGCTTCTCCATACTGTTACCAGAATTATTTATCAGAATTTCTTTGCCGGAAGTTTTGGACGGTTGAATGATTGTTCTCTATACAAATAATAGAAAAAATTATTTAAATGAAATAATGCAGTGCAATTATGTAAGATCTATAAGAAAATGTCAACTAACTTTATTAATAGGTATTATGTGTTCCGGATTTTGACCTTCTTCCGCATGCTTCTTTGATTCCCATATTTTTATACAAAATCCTTGTAGACGTGCCCAATAATCTTGACCATCGATTTTCACATTGCCAATGCACATTTCCTTATTAATGGATTCTGGCTGTACCGCCAATCGACAGCAAAAGTGACCGAAAAGCGGCAGGGAGTGATACTTGTTCTCTGAAGAAAGAATCACGATATAAGTATTTCGAGAAATTCGCCGAACTCTCGCACAACTTACCGATACTATTAATAACAAGGTCGTGCGTGTGAGTATTATCATCCGTGTCGTCTAAGGTCAGTTTAGCACGAGCTACTAAATCAAAGTATGGTCCACTGAAAGGAAAGTATATAAAAGTCAAAACATTTATGAATGAAGCTTAATTAATTTATATATTTAGGAAAGCAGAAACTCACGATTTGACGGAACCGAATTCGTCACGAAGCGAAGCAGCGAGCTTCTTGCCGACGGTTTTCGAAATCGACGAGTGAATAGTCTTTTTAATTCTTCTCGGCGTGCTGGCGATACTTAAGTCCTCTTGCAAAACGTGGCTATAGACTTCTAAAATTAACTCAAACTCGGCTGGCACATTATTACTGAAAATAGATACAAAAATTGACAATTATAAAATTGTTATGCATATTCTTTGAGTAGCATGATTACGAATAACTTTAACTTATTCTTGTCTCAAATTAGATTTAATATAAGGATGTATTAATCATCGGAACTTACAATAATAAGACATCGGGAAAGCTGAGATCCGTATGAGCTCTATCAATGGGGCATAATAAGGAGGTGTCATGGATTTCTGTGCCCAATCGTGCTAAGCAAAATACGGCGAACCGGCGATGATCACCGCGATTCTTAAAGTGATCGGAGTCTCTCCACATTAATGGTATCCTAAGATCCGATATTGACAACTTTCCCGTACTTCTAGAAATACTGGAAACACGCGTTGACGTAATTATTACTAAATTATAAACTCTTTTAATTTGATATTCATTCGTATAAGATAAACTATGAAGAAATGACAGCAAATCAAGACGATTTAAATTGTATTCACAAATTTAGTATAAACTTGTAATTTTTATTCTATTTTGACTTATATGATGTAAATTAGAATTTGTATTTAGTTATGCGATCAACATTGAAAAGGTCCTAGTATAAGGATGAAATGTTTGTTATTTAAAAAATTTGAAAATTTAAATATTAGCAATAAAAACTAGCGTTGGCTCTTAGCTCCTCGTTACTTTTATTATTGTATTACTAAATTGTCATGAACAGGAGATATATTGGATTATTTCTACGATAAAACAACCGCATGAACGAACCAGGATTGTTTAGAAGATTCTCGGCGGCGGCTTTGCAATTCTGTCATGTAAACCGACATCCTCTCGTTGGACGTAAGCAACGCTTTGGCGGCCTCCAAGCTCTGGGCGCGATGCTTCGCAGCCGCCAAAAGTCTCGCCGAGCCTTCTCTCATCTTGATTTCCACCTCGATCTTCTGCTCCAGGTCATGCTCCTGCAACATTATTCATGGTATTTTAGCAATCAATTCGCGCATCATCAATTCAATCACGAAAATCTCGTCGAAACAATCATTTAAATTTTAAATAGAGTTATTTTAAGAGGCCATCAACTCGCATATGGTTATAGGAAACGTAATTTTGCACCGGTGTCTTGCATGGTGCTGAATATGTAAAGAAAAAAAAAAGGAAGGAGCGACCGATAGTTACGATCGGAAAAAAATCGAAGTGTCAGCGATAAAATGAGTGGTTGGCCAGCACGTGGCCCCATCACGCGTTCATGGCATCGGGTTACATACCTAATAACGAAACGTCTTACACATTTTGCGAACGAATCGTTTTACTCATTTTACCGGTCTTCCTGAGATGTCCATAGATCGACTTGTAAAGCGTACAATTTCAAAACTCCGCAATTCCAAGTAGAGTATCTTGCAATTGTAGAATTTTCAAATTGTGTACGTTTTATAAGTAATAAATATACAATCACGGAAACTCAGAAACTGATTGTCTGGATAATTGTCTACGCCGCTATATCGATTATTTCTTCAAATTATTGTCAAAGTGTTAAAAATTGTGGCTTTACACATGCATTACGGCATTAATAATTTATATTTATATTTAGAATTGTGAAACTAATATTGTCACAAAAATAATAAATATAAATGTGAAGGCTATAAGATTCAACGTTGGTTATAAACATGCGTAATATTTTAATAATAAATTAATTAAAAAATTGGGACGTTTCAACTCAACTTTGAGTCATCTTCAGCCTATACCTCTTAAACATAACGTTACTAATTTGAAATATTGCATTGCAAATCAATATCCAAATTTCCTGAATGTAGTCGTCATGGAGGAAACGTGAGACAATTTGACTGTTGTTAAACCGACAAAACATGTTTTGGTTATTCCGGAATGTTCAATCTTATAAATTTTAATGTGTGACGAGAAAGAAATGTTTGACTTCATTTACAATGATTATTAACTGGTTCTGGATTTTGTGAGCTTGAATTCTTATAACCACTCAGCTTTGAAACTGTTGTTGAATAACATTCACGGCTCGTTGTCTCACGTTTGCTCCATGACGACCACATTCAAGAAATTTGGATATTGCGATGCAATATTTCAAATTAGCGGCGTTATGTTTAAGAGATATAGGCTAAAGATGACTTAAAATTGAGTTGAAACGTCCCAATTTTTGGATTAATTTATTATTAAAATATTATGCATGTTACAACCACCGTTGACTCCTATAGCCTTCACGTTTATATTTATTATTATTGTATTAATAAAAAAGGAATCTTTATAACAATTAGTTTAATTTAATTGATTAATATTAATATTGTCACACTAATTTTAAGAATAATCTGAAGAAATCACCAATGTAATGACGCACTGTTCAGACAATTAATTTCAACAGTATATACGTAGTAGTATATATACACTGAGAAAAATAACGATTAGAAGTCTGGTTATCTCAACCAGAAGATTCCAGAAAATTCTGATTCATCCATTTTTAACCAGAATTTCAACGACTCCAGCCATATATTTTTCTCAGTGTACATATGTAGTATATAAACAGTGTAACCTGGGAGAACGTGGTTTTCTGGCTCGTCCGTTTTTGAGATTTCGACATGTAAAAAAGCACAGTATCGTCGCGTTTACGTAGCCGATCGTGCACGACACGGGCCAGGTGAATGGAAGTTCCACTTCAAGGCAGAAACAAACTTCACGAAAACGTAAATAAATCGGCGCGGTTCTCGCGACGCTGGCTAGTAGCAGAACGCAGAAACGGACTGAAATAACGACTCTTCGGGGAAGTGGGCGAATGTACGAAGGGGTGACGTTCACCTCGACAAATTGGCTCGCTTGTGTGCTCCTCCTTCCTACCCTTGGAAAACCAACGCTAACATTACGGGATATCGATCCGTACGGCTAACGTTTTATAGTCGGCTTGCACGAGATCGCCATTTGTCCCTATGAAATGTGCTGGGAAGAATCCTACGTTCGAAGAATTAATTTTTGCAATTTTTTCTCTTATGTGCATATTAAATATTATATATCTTGATTATTTGACTGTTTGTTAAATCGACAAGATACGTTTTGATTATTCTGGAATGTTCAATCTTTTAAATTTTAATGTGTGACGAGAAAGAAGTTTTTGACTTCATTTACAATGATTATTAACTGGTTGTGGCCGTTCTGGATTTTATGAACTTGAGTTCTTATAACCACTCATCTTTGAAACTGTTGTTGGACAACATTTACTATAATATTAGAATACGGTCTCACGTTTGCTCCATGACGACCACATTCAAGAAATTTGAACATTGATTTATAATGCAATATTTCAAATTAGTGGCGTTATGTTTAAGAGATATGGGCTGAACATGACTTAAAATTGAATTGAAACGTACTAATTTTTTATATAAAACGTATTATTAAAATATTATGTTTACAACCAGCGTTGACTCCTATAGCCTTCACATTTATATTTATTATTTTTATATTATATACATCTCGATCTTATATAAAATGTATTCGACATATCTATATTATGCAAGATGCATTAAATGTGAAATCCTCCTCTCTTGAGATTTTTCTCTCGTCGCATTATTAGCACGCATCTGTTAATTCCCTGTGATGTCCGAATGAAGCGTATGATCCGAAAATAACGCACGCATCAGTAAAATCAATAATGCGAGAGATGATTCATTGCGCGCATCGAGCGATTTCGTATTCCGCTAACGTTGTGACACATCCTTATGCTGGGTATGGTCCGCGATGCAGTCTATCAAGAATATATCCACGTATATTCCGTCGTCTCTCGGATAGGAATTTTGCAACGACGCAAGGGCAACCGCGACCACATTTAATCCCTGACCTCTGTCGCCAGTGCTGTAACGAGTCTTGATGAAACTCGAAGCGCGCTGTGCGACGAACGAGTTCACGTAAATATATGATGTAATACAATTTACGCGTGCGGGTGTATTATCTCTCTTGATTTTTCCCTCAGGATTTTCCCTTGGACACACTAGGACGCGCGCAGGACACGTTAAGGCCGGTATTCATAGTCTGTTCTTAGTTACCAACGAAGCGTTATTTCGTTTATCTCAAATAACATCGTTTTCCTTACACAGAATAAAAAATCCTTCTCCAGATAAAAGAAAAAACGTAAATACCTTCGGAAAAGTCCAAACCGGTATGAAAATCCACAAAAAAATTGTAAATTACAGTTTTCTGTAATCATGTAGGTTCTTTCTCACATAGATGCAAGCATATGTCCAAACAAAAAGTACTTTTCCGTATTTGAATAATTTATAATTATAAGAATATCATGAGACCTTCAAATTATGATTCTGAGGCTCACAAGAGAAATGGCTTGAGAAGTACGATTTGTACATAACTTCACATTCAAGTGATATATAGGATATAGCAGAGCAAGAAATGTACGTAACGTTTTATTTAATCATTTTGCTTAATGTACGTAATGTTTTAATTAACATATGTAACGTTTTCTTGATGTAATATTTTATTTGGAATTAAAAATCTGTTTTATCGACATCAATCAAATTCGGCCGTCGCTTCAGCATCCCCTTAAGACGCTAATGCGACCTTCTGATTGGTTCATAACTTCTTAAGACTGTACTTAAGACGGTCTCAAATATAAGATCCGACTATGAATACCGGCCTGAGTACACGTCGTCGACGTGAACAAAGCTTCGCCAGCGCAAAGCATTCTTCCGTTGTATGTACGTAATCTCGTTTCAGTTTCCTTCGATCCCTCATGTCCCTACGTGTTTCCCCCTCAATATCGCTTTCTCTCGCGTCACCGGCACTTTCCCGACTGCTTGTCTGCCGAAAATAGTCGCCAGAAATCCAATACCCCGTGTGCCTGTAATGGTCACCGCACGCGACGCCCGTTCATTTTCTTTTCACGCACTCCGTATCTCCTGAAGATGCAACAACTTGATGTCCGATACGTCCGCGAGTCGTAAAATCAATGGGTATTAGATCGCGCCGTATCGAAATGAGACAGTAAGAGAGATATAGGTAACAGAAATGAGTAATAAATATTTGATACATCATAAAATTTTCACCAAGACCATCTGTACAGCAAATTATACCCGTTGATTTCGAGATTGAGATTTTAAATCTGTTCACAACGTTCACTATCCGTATGTCTGACCGAAGTGATGTCCACATGCGACGTCTAAAAATACGAACAACGAACGCGAGGAAATGTTGGCAGCCACTCACGTACAATAACTCAACTCCCCTTCGCACATATTTGACGTAAATTAAACATTCAAGGGTGACTTTGACTAAGCACCGATCAACTTAATCGGCGATCAATTCAACCGATAGAATTGCTGTATAATTCTCTCTCTCTCTCTCTCTCTCTCTCTCTCTCTCCCCCCTCTCTCTCTCATCTGATTTTTCTTCCCATGTGTTTTTTAGCAATAAAAAGTTAATAATTCTATCCAACATATTGCACGATGAAAGAAAAGTGTTTCGTCGTATTTATAATTATACCTAACTGTATTGTAAAATTATGATTAGAAGCTCCATTTATGTAGATATTATTCTCTAATATAATAGTAATAATATTTATTTTCCACATGTAATGATAATATTTATTTTCTACATACCAAGAAATATATTTAGTTGGCATCCAAAATGATTATGATTATTCTTTAATATGTAGAACTAAATAAATTATTATTACTAATGTTACAATATAGTAATTATAAAAGTGGAGCTTCTAATCATAATTATTTTACTGTACAATTATAGTCATAAATACAAAACATTTGTCTCTCATTGCAGCACTATTTCTCGACAGCTTTATTGTCATATTACTCGCAGCTTGATCGAAATCATCTGCAATAATCATTTGTTAAACAATTCATAAGATTCGAAAGCGAAAGGAACGTTTTGCCATATTTTTAGAGACACGATATCTCTCATTCTCAGTGAAACAATCAGCAATGAATTTTCAGAGTCATCGATAGTAACATTAATCGCGATCCTACCTTCGAATTTCGTGCGATCTGTCGAACGTAATACAAATCCAAGTCTTGGAAAATGTCATTCTTTCCCGATAACGTCGGAGTCCTCGATCGCATCCGGATGTCCTCGGCATTTACGACGTTACACTCGTCGTTGAGCCGGTCCCTCGATTTGTTCGCATTTCGCGGATTCAATATCGCCAAATGTGGAAAGCAGGAGTTCATCTTTTAGTGTTTTCTTCTTTTTTTTTCGATACGTTGCTACTCTTCGTTTGAGCTGTGTGTCGACCCACTGATCGAATACACCAAGCCTATTTCAATTCCGATGACTTGCAAACGAGATCGATACCGAAGGTGCATCGTCGCAGATCGGCAACCATGGATCGTCCAGGATTATGCTTCCGCCTCCCCCAGAGATATAATTTCACGGTGTATATAATGCCGTCGGGCAGCGAACAATTTTGCACGGACCAGTCTTGCTGGTTTATTCCCCGATGCCTTGACCCCGAGGTCTTAAACGAACACAAAAGGAGAAAGAAGGCTATCTTCCGCTTTTTCCTTCGAAAGATTGGAGTCAAGGTAGACGAAGAGACGCCTCTTTCCTCTAAAATACTCCGTCCACTTCTGCTCCGTTCAGTACAAAAGCGTTCTGTAAACTCTGACCTCTAAATTTTAGGCAGAACGATGAAAAATATTTGTTATCACGCTATTAAACCTTCTGTGTGTGTGTTAGCTTGACCTCTTCTCTTTTCAAATACGAACGCGACAAGTGTCGCACCAAGAGCGATCACGTACGACGACGTGGTTTAGATCCAGTCATCCTACGTTTTTCCGTTAGCTACAAAATAAGCCGTGACGGCATTGCGCCTCCGCGCGGTGCGACAAACGAGAGGCCCCGTTCCTGCCTCTCAAAGTCTCAACTCACTCGCCTTCTTCCCTTGTTGCCCGCTTCACCACCAAATTTACTCTTTCCCGTTTCCGGTGGTAGATCGTCTACGCCCAATACTCTACGCCGTGATTCACCATCATCGAGTGGAAAAAGTAGCGGTAGGAACGTCTTCTTCTTCTTCTTCCCTGTTCACTTTCTCGTATGGTTTCACGGATCCTCGGATTGATTTTTCGAACAATGAGATATTCTCCACGCCACGTGGGGTCCAGAATTGTCGTGCAAAAAGAGTGACAATCGCGATGACGATGAGATTTCATAAAACCGCTTGCCGCACGACTAGATCGGACTAGAGACGGAGACCGCGCACACGGTAATTAGATTAATCGGACAAAAATAATGTGCAGACGCGAGAAACGATATCTAGCGTCGCGGAGGAAAAACCAAGAGGGAGAAAAAGAGGCGAGAGGAGGAACCGGAGAACGGTCCGGGTCCCCAGGAGAAGCCGACTAATACTGAATGACGCTCGACCATTCGACTGTTCGGCACTGTGTAAGCATCAACAGACGCACCACAGCGCTACGCACCAACGCACCATACCACACGCGGCAAAATCTGCCAGGACGATGGGCGAGGGGGGAGGGGGGAGGGGGGAGACCACCGGCGCTACCGACAATAGATTGAATGAGAGAGCGGGCTGCGGGACGAGTAGAGGAGAGAAAGAGGGAGGAGAGGATCGCCCACGCAGACAGCATCCGCTCACTTTTACGTTTTGTCGCGCGCGTTACAGCAATTATCAACTAATTATCTATACGAAACAGCAACGCTGCTTATAGAAACATTACAAATGTATCAAATAATACTTGTTGTGCCTCATCGTGTCTCATCACAATATTATTCATCAAACATTTAATCATGTTTCTTAAAATTCTTGAAAACTTACATTTATAACGAAATCTATTTGGAGCGTTGAAGAGAGAGAAAAAGTCTGAATGCAAAAAGCAATGTGAACACTTATTATTTACAGTTGTCAGTTGCTTCGTTGTCGATAACCACGTGGTTATTTTCTATTTATATCGTGACACACAATGATGTAATAAATTATAAATAGTATTCTATAGCTATAATCAATTATACTGAAATAATGTAATTATGCATTTATCAAATATTGAGACACTGAGGTGTAAAAGATCCGTTTTTACATCTGAACTAGTATACTTTTTAATTGCACTTAAAATGAAATAAATATATGTTTGGTACATGGCATAAGCGTGAAAAAAAATTCTAGTGCATTCCAGAACAGGAATAAAAAAAACAAACCTATCATAAGTACTACAATTACATTTTTTTTTGTCAAAGTGAGGACCTTACGTAAATGACATTAATTTTGCACAATTATAATTTTATAGCGTAATTTTTTCAAATATAGAAATACAGGGTGTCTCGTAAATTCATGTAAATCCGCCAAGCATAACCTATTAGTTCGATCATATCATTCGTTCGTCAATCACATGTTTAGGGCGAGTAACGAGTTTAACAAAATAATCCAAGTCATCTGTTGAACCTGCGAGTATCGAATTAGGAAAATTTCCACGAGGCAAAACGCAAAGTGGTTTTTTAAAGACGAATCATAACGGATACGCCGGTCATGAGATCGTGACATCCTGAGCGATCCGTCGATTTAAACTCACCGCATGACTTCTGGCATATCTAAGGCTCTCCCGCCTGCGAACCCTCGTCTGATAGTCGTTCAGGCAGCACAAATAATTGCTTTCCTTGTAGCAGACGTTGTTCAACGACCTGCGCGACGTTTGAACGCTCTTCCTTCGCGGCGCCATTTTGTCATTCGAATCTCTTGGCGGCGAGAAAACGCATCGTGATTATCGTGAATGCCAACGTCGGCGCCATTTGTGAATTGGCGGATTTTCATGGACCGAGATTCATGGGCGAAATCCACCGTTTCTTCCAAATTATAAAAGAGACGGAGAATTTGTAATAATTACGATTGCGCAAACGCAACTCGTAGTAAGTTCGATGTCTCTACGATACGTGCTTTTACAGAAAACGTTACGAAATATTAGATTAAGTTTCGGATCACGTAACGTTGAAAATCAGGTCGTAGGGAAGCAACAGGTGTATACACACTTTCATAGATGCGACATATATCTGTATACACATTCACGCTCCTCAGAGAGTGAATGAATATTTAGGATCTCAATCATTTTGGAATGTATGAACTAAAATCTGATTAATTTACTAAACATGTCTGTATTATTTTGTTAACGTGGATGGTTTTATTCATTTTTTGAAGAAACATTACAATAAAAAAGATTATATCAAGTAAATTATATAGATAGAATTTTTTAAAATAATTCTGCTGGTGAATTGAATCAATTACGCCTGTTTCTACTATTGTAGATTAATTTTAATCTAGGTTTAACTTTACACATATTCATCTTTTTCCAGTTCCAAGAATTAAAAAAAAGATGCAAAACAAACTGAACTGAGAGTTTAAATTAACATTGGTAGAAACAAGCGTTAAAATTAATCGGATTTGGTCAAGTCACTCCGTCTTACAGCTGACAAAATAATAAATTCGCAGAAGAGAGTGAAGTTCTTAAAAAAGTGTATTTAAATAATACAATATATATTATCATAATGTTAATTATTGATCGCACCAGTCTGACAGACTGGTACTGTTAAAAACGCCAATTGAAATGACTCAAATTGCGCGCGCGCACGCGTACGCGATATCACTAAAACTAAGTTAGGCATTTTCAATAAATTGATAATATATTTCATAAGCAAGATATAATAGCTACAATATATCATACACAATAATGGAAAATGTCAAATTTAGCCACAAGTGTAAATATCAGTGCACTAAGGAGCCATTTATTTTTTGTCTTTGTCTTTGTCTTTCTCCTTCTCTTTCTCTTTTTCTTTATCTTTATCTTTGTTTTGTTGTAACGATCCAACGGCTTGGCGTACGGCTTCAGAATGCGGATCCACACCTGGCAAGTTCTCCAGGACCGATTGCAGAAAAGCAGGATCAGACATGACGGCTGCGTAATCCTCTTCCACATCCATCGCTTCTTCCTTTTGGGATTCCAATTCTTCTATATAACGAATGCAAATAATAAAGCATTAGATAATGATTATTGTAAATTTGTATTCGTACAACCTTTATGCATTTGTCCAAAAATATTATATATTATACAAAACATTAAATAATTTAATGCTAAAATAAACGCCTATAAACATTCGAGTTTTAATTAACAACAAGTATTATAAATCGGCTTTAACTAGCGTTTGTATGATATTTTATGTCAAGAGTTAATAAGTACGGATGTTATTAAACCCGATTATTGGTGATATATGAGTGTAGTCAATATATTATATACAGGATGAATCAGAGTAGTTGAACTAGTTTTTTATCCTACGAGAAAATTATCGACCTCACATCTAATTATTGACTTAGTGATACAGATCCGACGCGTGGATACATCGTGCGAATTGCTGGGCGCACAGAGAAAAAGACGCATTTGTAATATCTTGTAATAATTTTCACAACTCAATGTCAAACGTGCCTGTTTTCACGCTCAAACCAGCAGTTCACACGATGTTATGCACGCATCCGATCTGTATCATTAAGTCAATAATTGGGTGTGATCGATAATTTTCTCATAGGGTAAAAAACTGGTTCAACTAATTCACCCTGAATAATTAATTACACATTAAGTTATCTGTTAGGAACTTACGCTGATCTTGCATGGACATTTGCATAGCAAAAGCAATTTGTTCTTCTTCTGTCATGTTAGTGAAGTCCGGCACGTTGCTTCTGCTTGGAGCAGTATTATCACTAGCGGCAGTAGAGTCGTCTGCACCTTCAAGGGACATGGCAAGGGCACGTTTTAACATAGCTTCTTCATTCGGAGCTTCCTTTATAGTTTCTGGTTGTTTATTAGCGGCAGTCTCATTAGCCTGTGCACGACGTGCCTCGTCTTCCTGACGTTGCCGTTGTTCCTCCATAGAAACGCGCAAAGCCTGAATCATATGAAGCACACAAAATTAACACTAATTACACGAGAGAAAAGAAATTCTCAATAAAACACAGATACTGACCAACGCCAGCTCAGGATCTTCATTTGGATCGACCCCGAATTCGAACGCGGCACCACTCATGCCGGCTGCACCCATTCCGTCTTCACCTTGAATTATAGGAGAAGAGATCAGGGCATCTGATAAATGCGGACCTGGTGGAACAGTGACAAGATGACTTCCCGTGCCGTCCTTGCCATTCAATGCATTAACAAAGGCAGTTAGTACATCGTTGTTAATGCTCTCTTCGCCAAAACTTATGACATCAACGTTCACTTTCTCCTTTTTCAGACGTTTCGCTAACTTGACTAATTCCTTCTCATCGATGTCTATTGGACTTCCGATAAATGCAACAATGCGCATTTTATGATTTTTGCCTTGTCGATGTTTCAATGCTAACTGTAAATTTTACAATCTTTAGTACATACTTGACTCTAGACTCAACTATAAAACTAAAGATCTGTTTTTCAAAGAATATTTTCAATTGGTTTAATAAGTTGGAGTAAAACAAACTAGATTTATTTCATTCCAACTTATTGCAACAGTATAAACCAGTTGAGAGAGTCAATCATGAGATGAAAATTACAAAAGTGAACAAATTTATTAGATAACACAAACTATAGAATCGAAGCCTTACACGGTCTAGCTGGATCTTAATGATTCTTATGTGAATTTATATACTACGTATGTAGTCCCACAGAAACGCGCGCCGAAAAATTTCTGGTCTTGAAACGCTAACTCTACTAAACTACCGCAGTAATATCACGAGTTAAATT